TATTAGCACTACTGTAAACTGAAGCTTAATGTAAACAAGCATGGCATATTGTTGTCTGTAACATCTCAAAAATAATATCTCCGCACTTTGAAACAGCATGTCTCTCATTCCACATAGACTAAGGTAAAGTAAAAGTTTCCCTCTGACATTAAGTCCAGTTGTGTCTGACTCGGGGTTGGTGCTCATCTCCATTTGTAAACCAAAGAACCAGACTTGTCCGTAAACACCTCCAAGGTCATGTGGCCGGCATGACTGCATGGAGCGCCATTACCTTCCTGCCGGAGTGGTATCTATTGATCTACTCACATTTGCATGTTTTCAAATAGCTAGGTTGAGAGAAGCTGGGGCTAACAGTGTGGCCCCAGATTCGAACCTGTGAACTTTGGATCAGAAAGTTCAGTAGCTCAACAGTTTAACCCACTGTGCTATCGGGGGCTATACCAGATTAATATACCAGATTAGATTTTTATGCTTGCATTAGTCAGTATTGGATAGTTGCAGGAGAATTTAGAAATGTTGCCACCTGGTATTTTAAAAAATCTTGTTTAGAGTGTACAGCTGACTCATTTAACTTTTTTTGTTTGTTTGTTTGTTGTTGTTGTTGTTCATTCGTTCAGTCGTCTCCGACTCTTCGTGACCTCATGGACCAGCCCACGCCAGAGCTCCCTGTCGGCCGTCACCACCCCCAGCTACTTCAAGGTCAGTCCAGTCACTTCAAGGATGCCATCCATCCATCTTGCCCTTGGTCGGCCCCTCTTCCTTTTGCCTTCCACTTTCCCCAGCATCAATTGTCTTCTCTAGGCTTTGCTGTCTCCTCATGATGTGGCCAAAGTACTTCAACTTTGTCTCTAGTATCCTTCCTTCCAGTGAGCAGTCGGGCTTTATTTCCTGGAGGATGGACTGGTTGGATCTTCTCGCAGTCCAAGGCACTCTCAGAACTTTCCTCCAACACCACAGTTCAAAAGCATCGATCTTCCTTAGCTCAGCCTTCCCTAAGGTCCAGCTCTCACATCCGTAGGTGACTACAGGGAATACCATGGCTTTGACTAGGCGGATCTTTGTTGCCAGTCTGATGTCTCTACTCTTTATTTTATCGAGACTGGACATTGCTCTCCTCCCAAGAAGTAAGCGTCTTCTGATTTCCTGGCCACAGTCTGCATCTGCAGTAATCTTTGCACCTAGAAATACAAAGTCTGTCACAGCCTCCACATTTTCTCCCTCTATTTTCCAGTTGTCAATCATTCTTGTTGCTATAATCTTGGTTTTTTTTATGTTTAGCTGCAACCCGGCTTTTGCGCTTTCTTCTTTCACCTTGATTAGAAGGCTCCTCAGCTCCTCCTCGCTTTCGGAGTGGTGTCATCTGCATATCTGAGGTTGTTAATGTTTCTTCCAGCAATTTTTACCCCAGCTTTGCATTCATCAAGTCCCGCACATCGCATTATGTGTTCTGCATTGACATGTTAATTGTCTTCCATTCAAATTTTTCTGATCATTTAAAAATGGTAGTATGGAATGAGTGTGCCACTGAATTGCACTTTTAATGTGATTGGGGTGAGCCAGTTTGTGTTTCATAATGGGAAGGCAGAGGGAAAAAAAGCTTAAACCATTATCTGAACAATGTATTCAGTCTACAAGCAGATATTTTAAAAAGCCACTAGAGGGAGTAGGATCCCTTTGCCCATTGGATTTTGCAACCCAGATATTTTCACTATGAAAGATGCGTAATAAGATTACATAGTAAGAGCTTTCCCCCCTAACCACTGAAATGCAGTATTGTTCTTAAGGGGTTATGTAGCATATTAACAGAAGCCTACAGAGTATTTCCTACTCAAAAGAAGGGTAGGAAGCAATGATCACCCATTGTAGTATAACCCTAACATTTTGCCTGCATCTATGGCTGGCGTCTTCAGAGGCTCTGTTGGCAGTGAGGCAAGTGGAGTGTATATATGGAATGTCTAAGGTGGGAGAATTGACCCTTATGTGTTTAAAGCACATGTGAATGCTGCAATTAGCAAAGTTGAATTAGCATTTGAGCAGCCATGAAGTTTGGAAAGTCAATCAGTGATGGTATCATCCATTATTGCCTAGAGGTATCCTCTTTGAGAGTGCCTTGGACTGCGAGAAGATCCAACCAGTCCATCCTCCAGGAAATAAAGCCCGACTGCTCACTGGAGGGAAAGATACTAGAGACAAAGTTGAAGTACTTTGGCCACATCATGAGGAGACAGCAAAGCCTGGAGAAGACAATGATGCTGGGGAAAGTGGAAGGCAAAAGGAAGAGGGGCCGACCAAGGGCAAGATGGATGGATGGCATCCTTGAAGTGACTGGACTGACCTTGAGGGAGCTGGGGGTGGTAACGGCCGACAGGGAGCTCTGGCGTGGGCTGGTCCATGAGGTCACGAAGAGTCGGAGACGACTGAACGAATGAACAACAACAAAATCCTCTTTGTGAGATGTTAACTGACCCTTGATTACTTGTTGTCTGGTGTTCTGTTCCGGAGTGGTGTTCATTATTAACTGTCTTGATTCTGGCATTTTTAAAATACTGGTAACCAGATTTTGTTCATTTCTATGGTTTCCTCCTTTCTGTTGAAATTGTCCATGTTCTTGTGGTTTTCAATGACTTCTCTGTGTAGTTGTCAGAGTGGTCCAGAATTTCTGTGTACTCAAATAATAGTCAGTGCTCAGTTTGGTTTATCATGTGTTCTGCTATAGCAGACTTCTCTGGTTCAATTAGTCTGCAATGCCTTTCATGTTCTTTGACTCATGTTTGGGTGCAACAATTGATGGTCCCTGTGTAGACTTGTCCACAGCTGCACAGTATAGAGTAGGCTACTGCAGTGGTTAGAGGATCCCTTTTATCCTTTGCTGAACGTAGCATTTGTTGAATTTTCTTACTGCAGCTTGACACCATGTTCACTGCCAGGTCTCAATGCTATGGGGTCCTGGGAGTTGCAGATTAGTAAGACACCAGTACCCTTTGGAAAAACAAAGGCTAAAACCTTGTAAAATTACCAATAGAGTTGTGCGTGGATCCATTTTCCTTCATTACTGCAATTCTTTCATTACTCCTGTTACCTTTGGGAGCACATAACAGCAGTACAAAACCATCTTTACACGAATGCAAGTGGGAGCCGATCCCGGCTCCTCACCTGCTTTTTGTGAGCAATCTCCTTGCCTTGGAAAAAGTATGTATGTGGTGTGCAGGCCAAGAAAGTGTGTGCACCTGCCTGCAACCAAGCGCCTCCTCTACAGTAAGAAACAGAACTTGCCGCCTTGCCTTGAAAAAAGTGCATGTGTGATGTGCAGGCCCAGAAAGCACACGCACCTGCCTACAGCCAAGTGCCTCCCCTCTAGAGTAGAGAAACAGGTCAGAAGCCTCCTTAAAACGTGTGTCTGCTTGCAGCTAAGCACCTCTCCTCTAAAGTAGAAACAGCTTAAATGCCTCTGACAGGAAGGGGAGCCTGGGAAGCCCCCCCTCCCCCCAATAATGGACCAATAGAAAATGAATCTTTCAGCACCTCAGAGCAAAAACAAATATGTGCCCTCCTGATTTTGGGAGGCTTCAAAAAAAATGGATCGGGGCCCCCACCAAAAGCCAGGATATGAAACAGGTCAAGGTTCACCCGGATTGCACAAGTCTATTATATGGTATTGAGCCATGGTAGTTAAAGTGGTGTCAAATTGCATTAATTTTACAGTGTAGATGTATCCTTAATCTCTTTCGGTTTATTTGGAGAGCGTGCCATTACCCCATCTAGAATGTTGCTCTCTCGGTTTTACCCAGGGCACATAAAAGGAAGCCATTATCCCAGGATTTTAATTTCTTAGGCCCTTCCTCCCCCCTCAAAAAATTATACAGAAAAGGTGTGAATAGTAGATGGCATGTCAGAAGCTGTAAATTCTCCATTAGACTACCAACCAGTGTGCCAAATCAGGTTTTCTGCTGCTTGGCCAGCTAAGTAACCAATACTTGTTCTATAATTGGCATTTAGCTGCAGCTGCCAGCAATTTCATTTCCCATACATGTTATTGGTTCCAGGCTGCAGGAACTCACTTGACAATTTAAACAAAATAGGGCTCCAGTGCATAAGCCGCCCAAATGATCTAAAGTGGAATACTTTAGGCACTCCAATAATCCTGGATATAGTGGAACACTTGCTATATGCCTGCTTGTAGAAAAGGTTACCTTGCCTTGTATGAACATGGCAGGTCTGTCCCATTCTATCCAATACAGAAGTAATAGATTTTATTCCCCCCCCCCCTCCCATTTATATCCTACCTTTCTCCTGTCATGGTCCCCAAAGCAGCATACAATGAAACTTGTAAAATAAAATACTGTACAGGTAAAAGAATTTTAAAAAAACAAATACACACTTTTATTGAAAGTGTGTTATTTGTAAACTCCCTTTTTATAAACCAATAAAAAGATAAAATCCTAGCATGTTTTATTAAAAGACTTCCATGTCACATGAGCAAAAGAAGAAAGCCCTACCTAAATGATAATGCATGGTATTTGTCTGCCAGCAGAAAAAACAGCATGTGGAGAGAAGGGCAAGACCCAAATGTCCTAATGAAGGAAATTCCATAACCCATTGATACTGTGTTCACTAAATTGTGCCTAGATGGTGGGGCCAAGAGAAGGCCTTCTTGAGGATCTTAAAATTCAGGCAGAGTCATAGAATCATAGAATCTTAAAATAACTGAGTTGGAAGAGACCTCGTGGGCCGTCCACTCCAACCCCCTGCCAAGAAGCAGTAAAATAGCATTCAGTGTGAGTCATGTAGGAAGAATTGGTCTTTCAGAGAATCAGGACTCAACTCATGTAGGACTTTAAAGGACTTTAAAGGTTTGTTCTTAAGTTGAATTTGTATGTAAGTTAACAGGTACATTTTTTTCCAGTGTAATTCCATCCTATCTATCTATCTATCTATCTATCTATCTATCTATCTATCTATCTATCTATCTATCTATATCCATCCATCCATCCATCCATCCATCCATCCATCTATGTGTTTTGGATAGAATAGGGAAGGGCTAACACCCCTGTGGTGTTTGTTTTGCTGTCTGTGCCTCTGTTCAGAAGATTCCACCTCACTTTCTGTCCCTGTGATCATTGGATTTTGAAAAATGTGGCTTGTTGTGGAAGCAAGGATTCATGATATAGCCTCAGTGGAGACACCTTTTCCCCATGATAACTCTTTCAGGAGAAAATTTCCCTTCTGAGGGGTAGATTTCTGTCACTTCCTGATGTCTCGCCCTGTTTGTAAGTATGAGTTTTTTTATAAGTTGGATGTTTGTAACTCGAGGACTGCCTGTACTTTAGTCGACTCATCCTGTTTGAGCAGAAAGCCTTAGAGCAGTGGTTTTCAACCTAAACATCTGGGGACCCACAGGTTGAGAAGCACTGCCTTAGAGCTCTGAGAGAATGCTAAATGGGCCCAAATTGAGTCTATCTCGCCTTCCTGGAAGTGAACTCAGATGCTGGCAGAACACAGAATGCAGCTGAAACCTCAATTAACATCCTTTAATGAAATGATCTTTCTTTCATTATGTTTCTTCTTTAATAAAAAAGAAGCTGATGCTAATATATCCAAGGATCAATACATACTTAGTATACCTGTTGTTGTTGTTGTTGTTGTTGTTTGCTTTCAAGTGACATTTCTGATTTATGGCAACCCTTTTATAGGGTTTTATTGGCAAGATTTCTTCGGAGGAATTTTTGTTTTTGTTTTTTTCTGTTGTCTTCCTTTGTGTCTGAGAGTATGACTTGCTCAAGATCACGCAGAGGGTTTCCATGGCTGAGCAAAATTTGAACTAACTACACCACTCTGGCTCTCACACTGCTTATTGTATTGTAAATAATCTCTAATTCGTGATGTTTCATTTCAAGGGAGAAAAGAGAAGGCTCCTCCAAAATAGCCCTCTTCTTACCAGAAGAGATAGTTGGAGAAAAAAACAGGTAGGTTTACCATCAGTGGCTGCATCTGAAAGATATGTTTTCATTCAAACGTTTTGTGCATCTCTCCTGCAGTGCTCGGAAAACCTACAGGTGTAAAGTGTCTCCCAGTGTAACAATAAAAAAAAACTTCCTTGTTATCTAATCTGCCTTATTTCCTTTCTTACCATGTTTACCATACCCCGGTTTCCTCAATAATTCTGACAGCTGCAGGCTGAGCTGTGACGTCAACCTTAAAATGATTATGTTCAAGTGGCATTCCAGTGAAAACTAATCAGGCTGTCTCTTAAAAGCCTAATTCAAATCTAAAATAAATCTGCAGGGTACTTTTTTTTCCAAAGAAAAGTAATGCTGCCTCGGTATAATTTCTTGAGAGTAAGTGGGGAAATATTTCTGGAAGGGAATATATTGTTTTGCTTCTGGAACTTGAGGTACTAGAGAAGCTGTACTAACCATAAAATCAAGGAGACTTCCTTTCATCTCAAGCAGGTACTTGTTGGCTGACTAAGCCAGAGGGTGATAACTGGTCAAAAGACTCCGTATCTTCCATCTCCGAAAAGATTGATATGCATGTTGTTGCAATAACATCATCACTATTTATTTAGATTACAGAAGACATGTCAATGTGCGTTAATTTCACTTGGTCTGTCTCTTTGGTACTCCAGACATTGTTATCCTATTTCTTCTTTCACTTAAGTTGTCAGTAAGCCCATTTTCTACAATGATGCCATCTTCTCTGCCAAAGCTGTTTGACGCATTCGTTCTCTTCCGCTTTGTTTCCCTGTTCTTCAGCATCAGTTCTTAGGCTGAGTCTTGCAATATTCCACACATTGTAGTCTCCACATTTTCCAGGGCTTGGATTCACCTTCTTAATGTATTTTATACCGTGCTCGCCATCTTTCTCCAGTACTTCTTTGGCATCTATCTCAGACCTTCCTTTACCTACTCCATCTGCTCCTACATTTCATTCCTCACTCTATACACTTACATGGGGCTATTCTTCTGCATCCCATATCTGTATGATCTCTTCAGCCTCTTATATGTCCTGCAAGTTTCTCCTGATTCTTAACTCACTTTTTTCTGGGCATGGAGCCTGATGTCTCATAACTCTCAAAGGCATATCTGGTGCTAACATGGGAGAATGCCTTCACAGTGGTTGCTCCCAGGTTTTGGAACTGCCTTCATGCCTTTGGGAATTGAATATTTATAAAGAAAGGAGTTTTGTGGTTTGTCATCTTGTGCTTATTTCATCTCTGGTAGAGGATGTGTTAAAATAATGTTTAATTATATTGATAGTTTAATTATATCTTAATTTTTTGTGTATGCAAAAAGCTGTCATTGATTCAAGCTTTTATCAATAAATATTTGCATTTTTGTAAGCTGCCTGGACTAGTGTTGAGGGCAAAGCAAGAAGGTGGTAGAAGAAGAGGAAGCAGAAGAAGAAGAAGAAGATGAGGAGGAAGATGAAGAGAAGTTGAACATTTCTATTCGATAATCTGTCCTTCTGTCTTTGGTTCTGCTATTTTCAGGAATTATCACAGTGATAATCCAGTCTTTCTTAACTACTGTAGAGACTCACTTATTCAATATAAACAGGCTGGATAATGTTGGATAATAAGGAGGGATTAAGGAAAAGCCTATTAGATGTCAAATTACTTTATGATTTTACAAATTAAGCACCAAAACATGTTTTATAACAAATCAACAGAAAAAGCATGTAGTAATGTACTGTATTATGTAGTAATTACTGTATTTATGAATTTAGCACCAAAACATCGCAATGTATTGAAACAGTTGTGGATCCGGGTGGGAGGCAGACTGCGTTGGATAATACAGAACGTTGGATGATCAAAGGTTGGCTAAGCGAGACTCTACTATATTATGCCTAGCAGATTGTGTTTAAATTTTTATCACATTTAATCTTAATGTTTTATAAGAGATTTCCTTCACCGTTTTTGAACCACTTTTTGAGGTTTATGTTTCTGCCCATCCTTTGCACAAAAATAAATCCATTATAACCTTGCACACTTTATTGTGGTGTTTCTTATATTCATTCCATATGATGTGGAGTAGTAAGATAGATATAGTTACATCTTATTTTTTTTCTTTTCAGAGACAGTATTGACTATTTGTATGTCCGTCCATCCCCCCCAATATTTGCCAAGTGTTATTCTAGTAGAACAGTGGTTCCCAACTTTTTTTTGACCAGGGACCACTCTCCAACATTAGTACCAAAAGGGTTATGAATCAGTTTTTGGTCAACTTTAGATTCACCATAGACAGAATCACAATAGCACAATTACAAAAAGCGGCATTACCCAACTTCCAACATTTCACAGATGAAACTCAGGACATGTGTGGTCAACAAACATCACACTATTCTGAGTGCCTGGAGCAGTTTGCTTTTGCACCTATTGGAAAGGGCAGGATTCTATCTCTTACTCTCTTTTCCTCCCTGCTGAATCCTTTTGCTGACATTTTATATATTCATCATCATCATCATCATCATTTAATTACTTATTAATCGCCCTCCATCCAAGATGCTCTAGGCGATTTACATATTGAGAGGGGCTGGCATTCATTATGAGAAGGGTTGAGCAAGGATGTCTGCTTCTGTGCCCAATTCTGTGTGCCTGTTTGAATGAATGTAGAGGTGAAAGCTTGAACTAGGAATGAAATAATTATTCTGTCATTATGATTCCACCTCTTTTAGTGCTACTTTCAAAATTATTGATTTAACAGTGCTTTCTGCTGCTGCTAATTGCAGCATGTTGACAAAGGATATTGCTATTTCACTTTTTAAAAGCCAGATTATTCCCCAAATCATTCCCTCTTGCAGCCAGTGTATTTGTGGGCAATTGTGGTAACCATCTATCGTTTATAAAATAAAGTCTATAACATGAAAAATATTTTAAAACAGTGTTTCTCAACCTGGGGTCGGGACCCCTGGGAGGGGGTTGTAAGGGGGGTGTCAGAGAGGTTGCCAAAGACCATCAGAAAACACAGTATTCTCTGTTGGTCATGGGGATTCTGTTTAGGAAATTTGGCCCAACTCTGTGCTCTGTGTTTGTAGGTGGACTATAAATCCCAGCAGCTACAACTCTCAAATGTCAAGGTCTGTTTCCCCCAAAACTCCACCAGTGTTCACGTTTGGGCGTATTGAGTATCTGTGCCAAGTTTGGTCCAGATCCATCATTGTTTGAGTCCACAGTGCTCTCTGGATGTAGGTGAACTACAGCGCTAAAACTCAAGGTCAATGCCCACCAAACCCTTCCAGTATTTTCTGTTGGTCATAGTAGTTCTGTGTACCAAATTTGGTTTAATCCCATCTTTGGTGGAGTTCAGAATGCTCTTTGATTGTAGGTTAACTATAAATCCCAGCAAGTACAACTCCCAAATGACAAAATCCCACCAATATTCAAATTTGGGCGAATCAAGTGTATCTGGTATTTGTGCCAAATTTGTTCCAGTGAATGAAAATACATCCTGCATATCAGATATTTACATGACAATTCATAACAGTAGCAAAATGACAGTTATGAAATAGCAACAAAAATAATTTTATGGTTGGGGGATCACCACAACATGAAGAATTTTATTAAGGGGTCACGACATTAGGAAGGTTGAGAAACGCTGTTTTAAAAGAACAGGAAAAGGCTTTGAATTGCAAATGGTACAGCACTGATATCTTTTAAAAGTCTGCTGTATGTGTTCCAGCTGGGGTGTATAATTAATTTCAGAAGATCCTCAAGTGTTACGGGTACCTTGAGAAAAGCTCAACAGCAAGCCAACCCCTCTATAAAATATCTAGCTCTTTTCCTCTTCCTTGTAAATAATAATTTGATTTTGGCACCTATCTAAGTTTAATAGCATGTGAAGCATGAAATTTAGGAAGACATAGACCAGGATACTAGACTCTTTTTGCGTAGCACAAATATTTGTCTACATAGGATCCATTACACTGGATCTGACAGTTACACAGCCAGCTGTCCAACATTTCACAGTCCCGAGTTCACCCACCTCACAATTATCACTTCGCACTAAGAGGAGCTCAGTGGAAAAAAGTGGCTGTGGGTGTGCTTGCAGGCTGACTGGATGCAGAAGGAATTGCACTTAATAAAATCTCTGGGAAAGCATAACAGTTTACACAACTATTTTTATGCCAGTGCTCCATCAGGATTTAGGTCTTACATCTGATCCACGGGAACATAGTCAATACAGCCAGAGACCATTTGACTTGTTCCTGCTTCTGGAAAGGTGTGAGCAGTCAGGGTGCCCAGCAAGTGGATACCTTCCTCATGTGAAGATGGTCTTGGATGATCTTTTCTATGGATCTCACACTAATCTTGATATTTTGGGCTAGGTAGTGAGTGGTTATGCTGCAATTTTCCAGAATGGCAACCTCCACTTGCTGGATGGTGTGTTCATCAATAGCAGAGTGGAGTCACCCTGGAATTGGAGCTGTTTCCACCAAAGTCCGACCACATTTGAATGGACCATGCCAGTTTTTGACTACATCATATGATGGGGAATCATCACCATGAACCTATTTCATCTCATCAAACGTCAGCTTTGTTATGCGGCCTTTCAAGTAAAGGAACTTGAGGACTGCTCTGTATTCCGCTGGGTCCATTATCAAACCTCACACCACTTCAGCACCTGTAAAATCAAGACCATTATCAGTTTTGAGTTGTAAATGGGCACGTAACCTATAGAAACTTATATCATTACATATATGCCATTTCAGTGTCCTGTGATAAATAGAAGTGTATCGGGGAAATCCTTAATGAACGCCCCTCGAAAATCAGCCTCCAGATGTTTTGGACTTCAGTTCCCAGAAATCCCAGCCAGCTTACCAGCTGTTAGGAATTGTGTGAGCTGAAGTCCAACACACTTGGAGGAGCAGAATTTGGGAAATATAGATCTAGACAGTTTAAGATTTTATATGAACCATACAAAGGTACAGTTTTTGCTCTAACTACTACTACCCACAAAAGCTATGCCAGGACAGTAAATCCATTAAGGGCCATCAATAAGATCCTTATCCCCACATACCCAAGGCTAGTCTTTTTCATTATTTCCTTCCTGGTAGTCTGTTTTACTGCTACTCTGCTGGCTCTGTAAACAAGGTTACCTAACCTGCCCTTTCTTGGGAAACAGGCACTTCTGGAAAAATATTGAAATCCATCATCGCTTTCCCTCTGTTTCACTGGTGAAGCTTGCTCTGCATACGAACTGTCGGGCAGAAATTTCTTGCTCCAGCATTCATGCTTCAAAACTAAATCTTACACCTGTCTGTTTGTTCAAATCTGCATGTGAATTTGGTGTTGATGAAAAGTGAAAACTGACACTCTTGAGGAAGGACAACTTCCTTTGTTACAAAGCCAAAACCAGCCAAAGTCGGTCAGTTTCCTTCCCTCTCCAGTTTGAGTTGGGATAATGAAGCATGAGGCCTAAAGGAAAGCAGTAGAATAAATAAATAGCCAATTCTTGCAATAGAAAGGGATCCCCTGGGGATCCTGTTTTGGAAGTGAGCCTTTTGACAGGATCATATCTGAGCAAGTGATATGATAGCTTTCTTTAAATATCCAAAGGGATGATACATAGGACACAGAGCAAACTGTTTTTCTGCTCTTCTAAAGACTAAAACATAAACCAGTAGATTCAAATGAGAAGAAAGGGGATTCAGCTGAGACATCAGGAAGACCGTCTTCACAGACTTTCCCTGATGGTGGTGGACTCTCTGTCTTTGGATGTTTTCATTGGACATCTTTCTAGAGTGCTTAAATTGTTTCTGGGTGGCTGGGATTTGGACTAGATGGTGCTTGCTGCCTCTTCCAGCTTACAAGATGTGATTATGATGATGATGTTTATTTATATCCCACTTTCTCTCTTTCTCCAAAAGAGATGCAAAGAGACTCAATGCTATGATTCCATACACAGAGGGGAAACTCTACAATACTTCAACATTTCTTATTTGACAACTCAGTTATAGCCTCTAAGAGACATAGATATGTTTTTGGACTGAATACAGAATTTCAATCTTTGTGACCAAAGCTATGTTAATGTGTCTTTTAAGAAGAATTTGTACTTGCTTGCCTTACTGCCATAGGTGGGCAGGGATAATACTCAAACAGGGATTCCTATACACACACACACACACACACATACGATAGCAAAATTATTTACTAATCTCAATGCAGCAGTGATCCTTGATAATACAAGATTGGTGCTGATCACGTTCCGTAGATTTTTTTTAGTATTTCTGGTAGCCTACTTCAATGCAGCATTAAATGTTAGTATGAAATCCAATGTCTTTTCAAAGACACTTCCAAGACTTAATGCACACAGCTAAGCATGTTGACCCTTCTATGCTCAATTCAGAGAATATGACTTTCCTGTATGTATGTATGTATGTGTGTGTGTCTATATATATATATATATATATATATATATATATATATATATATCAGAGAGAGAGAGGTAGGGGGGGGGGGAGAGTTCAGAAATACATTGTTCTCGCTTGGCTTTCAACCCCTACTGATTAAACAAATGGGTACAGGTCACACTACAAAAATGCAAAAGTCATGTTCAGTTACCTGTGGCATATAAACAAGTGAAAGAAGTCAGTGTGACACACGTAGAGTCAACCAGAAGATTAGTAATTGTCTTAGTAAGCAAAAGAAGAAACTGTTATGATGAGAAAAGGATTGTACATACATTATCAGGCATTCAGTTTGAAGCCAGGGATCTACCAAATATGCAGCATTGAGCCTTTTGTCTCCCATAATTGCCTCTTGTTTCCTTTAAGCAGGTTTAATGCATGTGGATATTTCAATGTCCTGATTGAAATATTCCTTCTTTATGCTACTTAGTCTTTAAAATAGTTTAACTCCTCAAGTGGTCAAAAGTAATCATCCAGTAGCCATTATGACCAAACCTGGAACTCCTATGCAAAGTCTTTATTTGTTGATAGATGTAATTTAGTTTGCCAAGAACTAAATTACAATGTGTTATCATTGATAACGCACCTTTGGAAGTTCAATCACAGGCTGGGAGGAAAATAGATACCAGAAAATAATTGATTCATTGTAGCACTGCTCATGCAATCTACTGATCAACCACTAGACCTTTAATTAATAGTTAATCCTACTGAAATGAATTACTTCCACCAGAATTTAGTATAGAGCAGGGGCTCTCAAACTGTGCTCCATGGAGACCTTGGGGCTACGCAGGACAGGATAGGGATTCTGTTAGTGTACCGACCACCCCGCTGCACTACAGTCTCCCTACCTGAGCTAGCGGGAGTGGTCTCGGACATGGCGTTGAGCTTCCAACGGCTCTTGGTCTTGGGAGATTTCAACGTCCATGCCGAGGCCCCTCTTTCTGGTGCGGCTCAGGACTTCATGGCCGCCATGGCAACCATGGGCCTGTCCCAATTAATATCTGGTCCCACCCATAGTGCCGGGCACACTTTAGATTTGGTTTTTGCCCAGGGATGGGATGAGGGTGACGGGATGGAGGAGCCGACCATCGCCCCATTGCCATGGACCGATCACCACCTGATCAGTTTTAGACTAACTGGGCCTCCTAACCTCTGCAGGGGTGGTGGACCCATTAGAATGGTCCGCCCCAGGAGACTTATGGATCCAAATGGACTCCTGACGGCTCTTGGGGATCTTTCCACCTCCTTGGCTAGTGATACTGTCGATGCTCTGGTCTCTCGTTGGAATAATGAGTTGACCAGGGCAATTGACACTATCGCTCCGGAACGCCCCTCTCGAGTAACCGAGCTAAACCAGCCTCTTGGTTTACCGAGGAGCTGGCAGCGATGAAGCGAAAGAAGAGGAGGTTAGAGTGCGTGTGGCGCCAGAATCCCACCAATCCAGCCCAAACACACCTGAATGCCTTTTTAAGGTCCTACGGTGTGGCAATAGCGGCAGCTCAGAAAACATTCATCACAGCCAATATTGCATCAGCGAAGAATCGTCCAGCGGAGCTTTTCCGAGTTGTCAGGGGCCTGTTAAATCCGCCAAAAAGCGAGGCCTCGGACAACTCGGTGGCTCGCTGTGAAGCATTTGCTCGATCCTTCGCGGATAAAATTGAGCGGATTCGGTCGGGTTTTGACGTCATGTTAACGGCAGTCTCTGGGGATGTAACGAGAGCATCTGCTTGTCCAGTTTTGTTGGATTCGTTTCAATTGGTTCAGCTTGAGGATGTGGACAGGATCCTTGGAGAGGTGCGACCCACCACATGCATCCTAGACCCCTGCCCTTCCTGGCTGATCAAGGAAGCCAGAGGGGGTTTGGCAGAGTGGGTGAAGGTGATGGTTAATGCCTCCTTACAGGAAGGAAAATTTCCAGCGAGCTTAAAACAAGCTATTATAAAACCGCTGTTGAAGAAACCATCACTGGATCCCACTCAATTCGACAACTATCGGCCTGTTTCCAATCTCCCCTATTTGGGCAAGGTCATGGAACGTGTGGTGGCAACACAACTCCAGGGGTTTCTGGTAGACACTGATTATCTAGACCCGGCACAGTCTGGCTTTAGGCCGGGACATGGAACTGAGACAGCCTTGGTCGCCTTGGTAGATGATCTACGCAGGGAGCTAGACAGGGGGAGTGTGTCCCTGTTAGTTCTGCTGGACCTCTCAGCGGCCTTCGATACCGTCGATCACGGTATCCTTCTGGGCCGCCTCATGGATATGGGGCTCGGAGGCACTGCTCTGCGGTGGCTTCGATCCTTCCTTGAGGGACGGACCCAGAAGGTGTTACTGGGTGACACCTGTTCGGCCCCACAACCGTTGTTGTGTGGAGTCCCACAGGGTTCTATCTTGTCCCCGATGTTATTTAACATCTACATGATGGGAGAGATCATTCGGAGTTTCGAACTAAGATGCTATCTCTATGCAGATGACGTCCAAATCTGTCACTCCTTCTCACCTGTCACCAAGGAGGCTGTCCAGACCTTGAACCGGTGTTTAGCTGCTGTATCGGACTGGATGAGAGCTAACAAATTGAAATTGAATCCAGACAAGACAGAGGTCCTACTGGTCAGTCGGAAGGCCGAACAGGGCATAGGGTTACAGCCTGTGTTAGACGGGGTTACACTCCCCCTGAAGACGCAGGTTCGCAGCTTGGGAGTGATCCTGGACTCATCGCTGAGCCTGGAACCCCAGGTCTCAGCGGTGGCCGGGAGAGCTTTCGCACAATTAAAACTTGTGCGCCAGCTGCGCCCGTACCTTGGGAAGTCGGATCTGGCCACGGTGGTCCACGCTCTTGTCACATCCCGGTTGGATTACTGCAACGCACTCTACGTGGGGTTGCCTTTGAAGACTGCTCGGAAACTTCAACTAGTCCAGCGAGAAGCAGCCAGATTGCTCACCGGAGCGGCGTACAGGGAGCCACCCCCCCTGTTGCGTCAGCTCCACTGGCTGCCGATCCAATTCCGAGCACAATTCAAAGTGCTGGTTTTGACCTACAAAACCTTATACGGTTCCGGCCCAGTGTATCTGTCCGAACGGATCTCCCTCTACATCCCACCTCGAAGTTTAAGATCTTCTGGGGAGGCCCTGCTCTCGACCCCCCCAGTGGCACAAGTGAAACTGGCGGGGACGAGGAGCAGGGCCTTCTCAGTGGTGGCCCCCCACCTGTGGAACTCACTCCCCGGGGAGATCAGATCGACGACTTCCCTTCTAGCGTTTAGGAAAAAACTAAAGACCTGGATGTGGGACCAAGCTTTTGGCCATGCTGACAACTGATCAAAGGACCTATCGATAGACAAGGACAATGGAATGGAATGGATATATGGACTCTGATATATGGACTCTGACATGAGATAGTTTTTATGATTTTAATAGGTATTGATGTTTCATTTTAATTGTTGAACTGTTATATTTTGTATTGTTTGTTGTGTGATTTGGGCATCTAATTGTGCCTCCTTTGTAAGCCGCCCTGAGTCCCCCCCGGGGTGAGAAGGGCGGGGTATAAGTAGATGAAATAAATAAATAAAAAAATAGTGAGGGGCTTACTACCTCCTCCTTTTTCTCCTCCTGAGAAATGCAGGGAAATTAAAGTTTTGAGCTGCTGGAAACAACAGCAGCCTATGGGGTTTCTGTTGTTATTATTTATTATTATAAAGGCTGTATGGTCATCTGTTGGGGGTGCTTTGATTGTGATTTTTCTGCTTGGCAGAAGGGGTTTGGGCTGGATGGCCCTAGGGGTCTTCCACTGAAATACTGTTATGTTGGTTAAAATTGTTCTTCATTTTAAATATTCAATTGTTATAGGTGTTTGGCCAGTCAGAAAGGTAATAGACTGAAAGTACATCCAGAGAAAGGTGTTTCAAATGTCACCATTCAATCAGGAAAGATGGAATCCAATGCAAAAATAATAATAATGAGTTTTCATCTGCAAAGAACAAGTGGGAGGATAAGGCTCGAAAGTTGTCAAAAAAGTTGAAGTAAAAATTGTATGGGACTGTAAGATTCAAAGTGATAAATAACTAGAATGTAATACATCAGATATAATAATTGAGAAAATTATTATCCCCGGTAATTGAATTATTGCAGACAGAAATAAAGAACTATTATGAAACAGAGCTCTTCAAGCCTCTTCCTTGCTCCACCTTCTTCACCACTTCCTCCACCTTTTCCCACAGCATTGTGACTCTGGGAAAATTACAAAAATTAAAACAGATAGAGATAAAAGTTCATATAAATAAAATACAGGAAAAATAGCTTGCATTAATTAACTCAGAGAGGGACAGAGAGTGAAGGACAGGTAAAAATGCCCTTCACTGTAGATTCAGGCAAAAACAAACTGCTGCAGCCTCTCCTGGCTTGTTGATCTCTCTCTTTAATACTTCTTACCATCTTGTTGCAATCCGATGTTGTGTGGCCAGACATTGCCCAGTTTTCCTCCATGAAATGTTGGGGAATAGGAGTGTCCCTCCTTAAAAAGAGTTTAACCTTCTCAGTTGCGGCTCATTCACTATGCATTGGGAGATCTAGATGAGCTGGGAGATATTTAGTAAATTTAAAACAGCAGGTGATAATTGCAGGACCATCTTAGGTTCGAAGCCACTGTGACACTGAAAAGTAGACAAAAGATAAAAGCACCTTTCCTATGACTCTGCAGATCAGCAAAAGAACATATGCTTCAGATTCAAAAGTTTCCAGATCTGTTAACATTTCTGAGCATGGCGAGGAAGGAGTTATTGTCTGAAAAGCTGCTGCTGCTGAAGATGATAATAAATTAATCATTTATCTTGATTTGACTTAGCATAAGCGGTTCAGGCCCCACCTATCTCCGCGATCGCATCTCCTTCTATGAACCGGCACGAGCTCTAAGATCTTCTGGGGAGGCCCTCCTCTCGATCCCACTACCGTCTCAAGCGCGGTTGGTGGGGACGAGAGAGAGCCTTCTCAGTGGTGGCTCCCCGTCTCTGGAATGCCCTTCCAAGGGAAATAAGACAGGCTACATCCCTCCCCTCCTTTCGTAAGAGCTTGAAGACCTGGTGGTTTCAACAAGCCTTTGAAAATGACCAGTTCTAACTCAGCCCCACATATTGTCTAATACGGCCTTATTCTTCCTACCAGTTACCCAGACTTTTTCCTCTAATCGGCCCCGGAATGAACAGCCACAGATCTATACCTAATATTATTGTTGCCTGCCATAGCATTGCACTTAATTCCTGGGCCCCCAAGAATTTTTGGGCTTGCACAAATCTTGGCCCGGCCCTTTAAATTTTTAATTGCCTTGAACAGGCAGGATTACTTTTAATACATATGTGTTATGGCGACAATTTTTATGCTTATATTTTGTTTGTTAATCTTATGGTTATGTTGTTTTTACTCTGTATGTTTTGTGATGTTACTTGGGAACCACTCTGAGTCCCCTCAGGGAGATGGAGCGGTATATAAATAAAGTATTATTATTATTATTATTATTATTATTATTATTATTATTATCAGCATTATCATTATCATTATCATTATTATGTTTATCCGATCCCAGGACCTGAACCTTTTTCTCCAGTTCTTAGGGCAAGAAGAAGGAACCTTGGGGCGAGAGCACTGTCTTCATAATTGTTCAAAGGTATATATTTATTCATTTGCCAAACTTGCTGTTTTTATTTAATAGCATACTTCCTGAAACTGTGTTTGGTGCATAATATACACTCTTAATGACATTACCAGGAGCTGTCTGCTTATAATATCACCAGAGCCCACTTCCCTCTCATATAACATCACAATGGGACAGTCATCAGTCTGAAGTTTTGGCATTAAAATACCAGAGCCCAAGATAGTCCTAACCTGGCAGTCTTATGTATAAGGCAGAGTCCAGTGATCCTGAAATAGCAACAAGCATGGTGAGAATGGGATTGTGTGGCAAGTCCTATCCCTTGACATTCGTATATTTTGTTTGCAGATTTCGACCTGCATACAAGAATCACATAAAAGGTGAGTTGTATACAGATATAATAATTGTTGTTGTATTAGTAATTCTTCTACTGAGATTCAAGGAAGTTTACAAAGCTTAAAACAAACACAGGTTAAAAGGTGTGTAAAAAAATCAATAGACAGATAAAAGTTATTATTAAATGTCATTTAATCTACAAAATTAAAACAGTCAAAAATCCTGGGTTGCTGTGAGTTTTCCAGGCTGTATGGCCATGTTCCAGAAGCATTCCCTCCTGATGTTTTGCCCACATCTATATCAGGCATCCTCAGGCTTTTTATTTACTGTCCTGATTTTAGAGTTTTTTTTTTAAATACTGGTAGCCAGATTTTGTTCATTTTCATGGTTCCCTCCTTTCTGTTGAAATTGTCCACATGCTTGTGGATATCAATTGCTTCTCTGTGTAGCCTCACATTGTTGTTGTTAGAGTGGTCCAGCAACATGCTGTGTTCAGGTTGGTTCATCAGGTGCTCTGCTATGGCTGACTTCTCTGGTTGAATTAGTCTGCAGTGCCTTTCATGTTCCTTGATTCGTGTTTGGGCAATGCTGCGTTTGATGGTCCCTATGTAGACTTATCCACAGCTGCATGGAATACGGTAGACTCCTGCAGAGGTGAGAGGACCCCTCTTGTCCTTTGCTGAACATAGCATTTGTCTACCAACCCCCGAAGAACGACGCAAGAAATAACGACACAACAACCATTTCATGGATTTAAATTGGGCAACTTTTATTTTAACGTTACCTATTTAATTCTTAACTATCTCAAGGGTGTCAGGAACTGGCAAACCTAACCCAGGTAGTAGCACTACCCGATAACAACAATTTCCGGGCGAAACACCTGGGTTCCGGTATTCAAACCAGATACCGTGAAGGGAAACGAATGAGGAGTCTGCCCCAAAGTTCTTGTATCCAGACTCCTTCCATTCGAGGCCATTCAACTACACTTCACCCTTTAACTGGTGAATGCTCAACTTAATGGCCTGTCACCCCTTAAAGGGGTGCCCTAGGTGTACACCGACTAGATGGAATTCCCTAACTATTTACGCCACGGACTGGGGGCAAATGTCTATTTCGCCCCCATCCCCCACCAATTCCTCAAACACCCTCATGATACCTTCCCTTAAGTTCAACAAAAACCGCTGGTTGCCCAATTCAGAAAGGTGTACACCGTCAGTCCGGTATAACCGTTCATCATCCCGAGAGATGTCTGGGTGTTCTATGAAATGACCCCTTTGCTGGACCAAAAACACCCGCATGGCTCGATTCACTCGCTTTCTAGCTTTTTCCAGCCTACGCACGTCGCCTCCTCCTAGCCACCTACGACGTGGGATAATAGCGGACCAAGCGACGTGAACACGCGGCCATAACCTTAAAATCCTCCGCAGGTCCGCCCGAGCCTGCAAAAATAGGGCTTTTCCCGTCAACAAACCCAGGTCATTGCCACCGAGGTGGATAACCAGTACATCAGGAGGAGGCCCACTCCTGGAATCCAACAACAAAGGGCACAAACCGTCCCAACGAAGGCCTCTAATACCTTTCCATTCAACCGTTGCCGTCGCCGCGAGGCCCAGGTGCTGGCCATAGGCACTCCCGAGGGCCTCTCTCCTAGCCCAAAAAACAAAACTGTGCCCGAAGATCAGGACCTTCCATCTATGAGCCAGCCCTACACGACCTGCAACGATAACAATGAGTTATGAATGCACCTTCCGCACATAACCCCTAAATGCACCCGACTTCCATCTGCCCAGGGTTTTTATATCCTCCACCCTGTAACCCATCGCAGCTGCTGAAGACGCTGCTCCAATCCTAAAGGAGTGGGTTCCAAACTTAAGATGACTTAAACCCAAGAGATCTAGTGCCTTAGCTGTAATAGCCCAAAACTGGAACCTTGTCAACGGCTTCCCATCCCCGTGACAAAACAAGTAGCCACCCGCCTTGCCTCTGATAGCAATAAACTGTGCCATGGCAAGAACGGGACAAATCTCAACATCCCCGCATGTATAAAGCCGAAGCACCTGGCCTCTTGCTCCTTGATCTGTCTTGGACATTCTGATCCTAATTATCAGATGGTCCTGGCAAACTTCCACATCAGACAGCAAAAGCGCACGGTGTGAGGTATCTTTTTTGGAAACTGCCACCAATTCGCTCACACGAAGGGCTGCAAAGAATGCAGTCAGCGCCGCCGCATGAAACAAGATCTGCTCATAATAAGTCGAGCATAATGTGGGCCATAGCTGTTTAAGGCCTTTGAGAATCGCTGGTGTGAAAGGCTCCCGGCCATCCTTACAGTGTCCTCGTTGCCTAGCCCATCCCGCTAAAATTTTTTGCAGGCGAAAATCATCGGTGGTGTCGCAGAGCCCCTGTGCTTTGAACCAGTACGCCAGCGCCGATAATTTTGACCTGATAGACTGCGCTGTCAGCCCCCTTCTCTTGTGATAAACACAAAATTGAACCAACTGCTCATACGGTGCTGGCATGCATACTGGCAACATATAAAGCTTTCTAAAATCGACAAACTCGCGCACCGCCCTAGCATAAGATTTCTGAGAACTAGGGGCCAACGCCATTCTCATACCTAGCGCTGCTTCATCGATCCAACCCTCCAGAGATGGTCCGGCATGCTCTCTGGACACAAATCCGCTGCGGGCGCCAACCTCCTGAACCGTTCCATCTGTGAACGAGACAGTGCGTCCGCCAAAGCGTTATTAATACCCGCAACGTGGAACGCCCGAAAAAGCACATTAAACCTAAGACATTGCAAAACGAACATCCTCACAGCGCCCATAACTCTGCGCGACTTGGATGTAAGCGTATTAATAACTTGGACTGTGGCCATGTTGTCGCACCAGAAGTGGACCGAGGAATTGGCAAACCTGTCCACCCAAAGAGTAACCGCAACCAATATCGGAAAAAATTCCAAAAAGGTTAAATCAGACGTAATACCCAGCGAATGCCATTCCTCGGGCCACCTCTCAGCACACCAGTGTCCATCAAAGAAAACCCCAAAACCTATGGCACCAGAAGCATCGGATGCCACTTGCAACGCATCGTGCACCAATAGCTCCTGACGCCAAAAAGAAACCCCATTAAATTGGCGCAGGAATTGAAGCCAAGTGTCCAAGTCCTCCCTAACCTCCACCGTCAACCTAATGTGATGATGCGGCAAAACTATGCGAGCTGTGGCATCGCAGAGCCTACGCAAGAAAGCCCGGCCAGGCGCCACTACCTTGCATGCAAAGTTTAAATGCCCAATCACCTGCTGAAATTCTCGCAGAGTGGCCTTGCGCCGAACCACAAACCTTTCTAATAGGTCAACCAAACCCATGACCTTATCAGCTGGCAGCCTAGAGAACTGGTTGACAGTGTCCAGCTCTATCCCCAAAAAAGTCAACACTGTAAGGGGTCCTTCTGTCTTTTCTTGTGCCAAGGGCACCCCCAGCGAGTGCGCCAGCTGCTGAAAAGCACCTAACAGGTTGAGACAGTCGCCGGACTGCGCCCTTCCTACAAAAAGAAAATCATCCAAATAATGCACGACCCCTCTGAGGCCCGACTTTTCCTTAACCGCCCATTCTAGAAACGTGCTAAAAACCTCAAAGGTAGCGCAAGATATCGCGCAACCCATGGGCAGCGCTCTATCAAAATAGAACAAACCCTGGAACCGGAAACCCAGCAACTCAAAATCGGCCGGATGCACCGGGAGCAACCTAAAAGCCGATTTGATATCGCACTTTGCTAACTCAGCTCCCACGCCAAAACGCCTCACCAACCGCACTGCTGCATCAAACGATGTATAACTGACCGAACATTGCTCATCGGGAATAGCGTCATTCACCGATGTCCCCTTAGGGTAGGACAAATGGTGAATGAGGCGGTATTCGCCGATGGCTTTCTTGGGTACTATACCCAGCGGGGAAACCCTGAACTGAGCAGTGGGTGGGGATGTAAATGGACCCGCAACCCTGCCTTCCCTCACCTCTTTCGCAATCTTTTCCTTAACTATGGACTCAAAACCTAACAGTGACTTCAAATTAGGTGATAAACAAGGATAACGAAGTCCTAACGCCGGAATCCTAAAACCTTCAACAAAACCGCGTAGCAAGAAATCTGCTGCAGCCCTATCCGGATACCTATCTAACCAAAAACTGAGGGGTCCCAACTTAATTGGGCTGGGGCCCTTTTGAAACAGGAGGCTGGGCTGCAACCTTACGACTGAACTGCGCGTCTCTGGCTGCAGGTCTGGGGGGCTTACCTTTAAAGCAGGTTTTGGCCGAGTGACTGCCCTGACATATGGAGCAGGCGTGCAGGAATTTACAAAACTTACGGGAGCAAGCCCCTTGGGCTGCAAATTCCCAGCACATACCTTTTTGTCTTTGGGGCTGCTGAGCCGCGCCGCCCGAACGAAAGGACTGAATGCCTTTTGTGTTTTGGATGGTGTGACCGCTATCGGCCTTCTCACCAGACACCGATCTGGTTGAATTCATCACCTCCATCCAAAGCTGGCTATCAATAAGGTCCCAACGCTTGTCTGGCTTTACAGCGGCTTCAGCCCGAAAACGGCTATCATAGACAAGCCAAGCCTGCCCTGTGTAATTTACGTAAGCCCCATATATGATGTTCTGATATTTAAACAGGGCCTTAGCCCTATAAGGATGAGCTTCCACCAATAAAGAAGCATATATGGTGTAGCACGCAAGCCAATTTTTCCAATTCTGCTCCACCCTTCGCTTTTTGAGCTTTTCCTTACGCTCCTCATCCAGGTCATCCTTCTCCTTCTTCTCTAACTCCCTAAAATATAATGAGAAGATGTCTATATACTCATTTCTAATTATCCTCTCTATAGTTTTTTGAGATAAGTGGGCACCAAGGGAAGCGGAGGCCGTTGTCGAAACCACCGGCCATACCCATTTATCTGTCCCCCAATATTGATTAGCATCTCCCGTCCTAGCCACCTCCAATGATATAGGTGTCACCACTCCCTCATTACCCCTGGTACCACCAACCG